CTAAAATTTCATAATATTAAAGCAATTCAAGATTTACTTTGTCTATCAACGAATTAGTGAATTTGAAAAGAATCGTTTCTAAAGATGATGAAAAAAGTTCTTGTTTAAATTTAATCATTAATCGAATAGAACGAAGAGAAGATTGTAAACAGGATTTTGAAAGAAGAACATGTGTTTTATCAGAAAGATTTGATTGTTTTAAAGAATAAATTGAGAATGATTGTAATTGACATGTTTTTATTAAATTAAATTAAATTTCTTCCAGATAAAATTCATCAATATTACAAATTGTTAATAATTTCAATTGAATAAATTTATTTGTTTGTAATAATTGAAGTATTTCATTGTTATTCTTTCATATATGTAAGTAGATAATATTTTCTGATTGGATTATATGAAAAAAATTAAAATCTATCGTTTGAATTTTATAACGATTATAAAAATTTGTTAATTGATAAGAATGTTGACAAACATAACGAATTGAACGAAGAATAGTTTTTATATCCAAATAATGAAATATTCCATAAAAAAATTCAATGGGTAATTGAAGAAAATACATTTGTTATGTGATTGTTATAAAATCTCGTGTTTTTCTTTCTGTTCTTTCACAATTTGTTTATAATATTATGAAATTGTTCGTTTATCGCTTTTGTCTTACACTTACATTTGTGTCTAATCATATCACTTATTCTGGAATCTTTTTTTCCCAGAGAAAAAGATAAGATGGAACCAACAACCTAGAAGAATGTTATTGATATATTAATGATAATTCTGTTCTAGAAAATCAAGATATCGTCACAATTATCTGGTTCAATTCTGAGTCAAATACATCGAAGGAGAATTTGAAACAGATGAAAGAAGATCTGTATTTGATAAATAGTTCTATTTTATATTCTAATGAGATTGAGAAATGCATCAATTCGATGAATTCGATCGTTGACTTTGATGAGAACAGTGGTGTTTTAACTACNATAATGTTGTTGACGAAGAATTATTGAATTTCGTGATGATGGAAAACTTGAGAATCGATTTGATTGAATTCATTTTTATTTGATTATTTCTTTCTATAATTGACCAAAGGATAACAATTAAGACTGATGAAATCATTTTCAATACTGATGATAAACCACCAAATAAACAAACAAGTAACGCAACATAGGTGTTGCTAAACCCTCAACTGAAAGGACCACTTTTGCCCCATTAGTATCAATCTTTTTTTTTCTAATAGATAGTTTTATAGATTATACTCTAATAAGAAATAGTCCTTAAGTATGCACCGAATTATATAAAATTTTCTTAAAAGGTTTCGAGTCATTCATACTGACCGTATTTTCTCCTTAGAAGGTCAACAGCTGAACGTCTAGTCGTCCCTATGTTTAACACTAATCTACCGTTCACTATCACTGCGGTCCTCAAACGAACAAACATATTTCGTTTCGACTTTGCGAGACAAATTACGAAACTTTTCGTAGATTCACGAGAAACTGCTGAAAGAGAAGTCATTTCTAAATTGATATAAATTATAAGCAACGCTCAGTCAACAGATTCGCTGATCCTTTTGTAACAGAAACTTCAAGTTACTTTTTATTTAAAAAAGCTTTTCCCCCAAAACTCTTATTGTAGAAGATGGCTACACAGAAAAAAGCATACTTGCACATTCAAAGTCTAGTCACTGGGCTATTACTTTATAGGCATTTTCCTGAAGTTTCAGGACAAAACAAACACATCTCTAGTTCTTCTCAAAATACTGCCAGCCTAAAATTCCACATTCGCATTAATGATCTTTCGTTTTCGCTGATGCGATAAATTATGTGATTCTTTTTCAAAAGATCTCAATTCGCATTTATTAAACACCTAATAAAACTAGCATACCGGCACTTACTCGTTCGTCGGTCTCTCTTCGGTCGGCCACTCACGACTGGATGATCTCATATTCTTTTTTAAACCTGTACTATCCTACAAAGAAGGGATCTTCTCAAACAAAAAATAACCTACTCGTACTATGCCGTATTTATAACAGACAATATTTGATATATAATGGCAAGTTTCTCAGAATACATCACAAGCTCTAGTTTTCCCTTTCATTCAAGAATACGGTATCCATCGACCTCTTTCTTATAGGAATATTAAGATTCTTACTTGAAGAAAAAGTCTGCAGCTATGAAGTTTTTGTTTTAACACTAAAAATTCATGATAATCTTTAACATCAACGACTAGTCGTTCCCATATTTTACCAGATAGCGAGTGACTTTTCGAGCGACAATACGTGCATTTGTCCGTCTATTCATATTTATATTTCCTTCATCAATTAATTTGTTCTCTCTTTCGAAAGAGAAAGCTCTTACAAACATAAACTGTCTATTTACTTGTATATTCGCATGATCAAAAGAATATCTGAGAGCAAAGTATCAACACCTAATAGCACCTCATCTTTCTGATATAAATTTATCGAAAGGTTATTGGAATCAAAAAACAGGAGTCTGCTGTTAGATTTTGCAAGCTGTATACATTTCAAGAAAAGTAGAGCCACAGAACATTAGTTTTATGTGGAAGAACCAAACTATTCCTTCAACGCACGTCACTTGTCGATGTATTTACTCATTGAAATTTGAACTNATTCATCTTCAATACCAGTTTGAAAGAGATTTAGTTTTAAAATACGAATTTTGAAAGATGTACCTAGGTCTATTTAAAATCCAACACGAATTTTTTCAAAGTTTGTCCGGTGAATAAAAGTACCATCATTCGATGCAGAATTAAATTCTGAGTTAAATGGTGTAATTTTCATGGACGGGGTATATTTAGTAAAAAAGTTTCACCTAAAATATCGTTTGTTCGTGCTAGCTCCGTCGTGCTAGCTTCACACCGATTATTGGGCTAGTGTATATTCTTCGATTGAAGAAAATAAGAAATAGTGGATTTGACTAACGAGTACAAATTAAAGTGAACATGTAAAATTCTTTCGCGTTTTTTTATAATATTTAACAAAATTCAAAAATGATATGATTAAGAGTAGCACAGCAACACTTGAGAGAGGAATCGATTTCCACCTTATTCAATCATATATAGAAAAAAGGAGATTAAAACCAGTCATATTCGAATCATTCTGCTCTATATTATCAATATTTTAGATAATAATTAGTTTATAGTACGAAAAGATCAAAAGTTCAAGAATCATCTCTTTCAACAGAAGATAAAGTAGCTCTATCAAAGGAAATGATTTTAAGAATATCGATAAGTAACATTCTGGAACAGTTCGTTTTCTTTCTATTGCTATGACTAGTGTTGAGCGTAAGGATACATGCACAATTCAATCGTTGTCTATGAACAAATGTATACAGAGGGAAACCTAATAGAATTCATCTGAATTTCTACTATGATGTAAATATTATTGCAAATAATCGTTATAGTAATGTGTGACTATATAATACTATAACACTTATCTTATATTTCCATAGATGAAATAATTCTTTTGTTCAAATTTATCCCATAATTTTTAACATCTACAGTGAACAATAATGATATACACATAGGGTTTGTTATGATAAAATCTGTATCAAAAGATAATCTTATATGAAAAGTAATATATCATTGATGTCATAGTTTATTCGATCGATTCCAAGATCACTGATCAGTGTGTCTACCAAATAGTTGCTTTTTCAATCTGTTTATTATTTGTGCTAATAATGTCTGATCAAATTCTGCTTTATAAAACATTGAAGGTAAAATAAATAGAATGTAATTTGTCATTTGAGGTAAATAAGATAAGAAATATGATGCTATTATTAGATAACGTTGCCATGGAACTTCTAAAAATTCTGTACATGCTAAACTGAATGATATTATAAATTGTGGTAATGCGCTTAAAATAATAAAAATCGATGGAATAAATAAATCTTTATACTGTTGAAATTGTTGTTGAAATATTTTAATACATGATTGTTTTCGATTAATATTCGCACGTTTATATGTAACAACTCCAATAAGAATAAATACGGAAAGAAAATTGATCAAACATGGAATCATATAATTGAATATTGTTATTATTTGATTATAAATTGATAAATATTGATTATATTGTATAGCACACCATGTTCCACTTTTGGTATATTTTGGATCAGAAACAACATTATAAGAAATAACTTCATGACAATGTATGCCAAATGTAAATAGAATTGCTAAAATAATAATAGTTATAGTTATTTTAGATTTTTTAATCCATATATGATTTGGAAATACAGTTACATAAGCACGTTCAATTGATATAAAACTAATTAACCAATAACATAAACGAGTAGAACATGATAAAAGATATGTAATTGATTTACATAAAATCATATTAATTGTATAATTTAATATGAAACCTTTTGCACTTAATAAAAAATAAATCATTTTTAAAAATAAAAATACAATTGATACTTGACTTGTGATACTATTAACAAATAAATAATAACCAACACCAACTATACAAAAAAATAAAAAGATTTAATTTATCTCTTTTATCTTGCAGAAAATAGAAAACCTAAATAAGAGAATTTAAACCGAACTTTGCTCATTCAATGCTTCCATCTAAATGATATTATAACTACCATGCCTTATCTCTAGACCGATTGCCTTCTATAGCGCACCGATGTGAACATCTCTGTTAGGAAAATATTCTCAAATATTATTAAATAAAAAGAAAATACCTTTTCGAGGTTTTGGACGACGAAATGTTACAAAACAGAAAATATTATTGAAAA